GGGGGGGTTTTTCTACTAAGAGGGGGGGGGGGGGTCTGCTAGGAGAGGGGGTGTACGTCTGCTAGGAGAGGTGTGGAGGTATGTCTTCTGAGAGAGAGGTTGGGGGTTATCTTTTAGTAGTGCAGTGGGTGTGTGTCTGCTACAAGGGAGGTGGGAATGGGTCTACTGCTGCTATTGTACAAAGTTCCAACTGCAAGCCGCAAATTATATATATGAATAGAGTATGTTCAATAATCCATTTTTACTATACAAAATATTTTAAGCTGTTTATTTTTGAGAATTAAACATAAGAAAATATCTTGAGAAATACTAGAGATTCTCTAACAATAGAAAACAAAACTGCAGGTCTTGTAAATGAAAACTATGTTTTCCTTTACTTTCAAATTGTGAGATAAAGAAAGGGACATGAATCATGTAAATAAGTGGTCATCAAGGTTGATTAATAAAAATATTTTAAAAGTAAAGCTGAACTTATGACATTCTGATTTGTTTTTGGACCCGTTTGCAGTAATGTCACAGGTGGAAAATACAGTTTATCTTTTTTTTTCACAGCATTAACGGCACAAAAAGTTAACTTTCAGGAATCAGGTTCAAGTCACAACCACATGATTTTATTCTTATTAACAGAGAGGACATCAAAATGGTGAAAACAATTATAAATAACAGGAGTCACAACAGAGTCATTAGCTGTGGATAAGACAATGTTCTCACACTGTTTAAGAGAGACTGGTCCCAAAGTAGGAAATGTATAACAGCCTGACAAATTATACCATATGTCAGTTTAATGGCTAGACAGAATGGCAACAGTGTATATTAGAAAAAGATGGGTTTCAGCATCTGTAGTACAAAGGGTCAAAGTTATTTGTCTTAAAACCTGTGCACATGCCAAAAGGTGATCCATTAAATAAATTTAGTGGTCAAGCTGAACGTAAATCTCAGTGCAGTAAAACATACACAAATGCATATAAAGGTATCAAACCTGAATAAAGGCATCTTCTTCTTGAATTCTGTTTTAACAAAAATATAACCCTTCTCGGATCACTAGATTACTTTGCTTAAATTAAAACTCTAAAATCAGTTTTCGCCTATCTTAAAATGTTACACAAAAATGCTATTACATACTTCTGTAAATTTATAGTCTATGGATTGCCACTAAGGGAATTCTTATACACAGCTTATAAAGGAATGACAGTTTAAAGGAAACCTGTGCCAAGGATGACATTTTTTTACTTGTGAAAATGCTAAAGGACAGGCAATCATGTGGATACTCTTACTTCAGTACTTTGAGTCACTGATCGGCAACAGGCATGTAGCCAGTAAAGCCAGAACTGCTTATTTGCTTACATGTTCCAGGTGGCTCTGGGAATACTGAAGCACTAGCATGGGAAACATTTAACTAGCATTCACAGAAGAAGAGATCAACAATGGCAGCCTCCATATTCTCTCTGTGCAGGTTTCCATATTAGCCGTGTAATAGATTCCCTTAAATAAGGAAACACCCATGCTGTTCTAAAAGTGGCTGCAGCATTAAAAAAAAGAAAAGCCATGGAGGTAAAGTGGACCTTAAAATAGTAAGGCAGACAGTGCTTCATGGCTACCCCTGCTTGGAAAATATTGCCCTATAGAACTTCATGTTGATACAGAAGAAACAAATCTTATCAAAGGTAAGGCCTCAAGAAGCATGATAAATAAAATAAAAAAAACCCTACAAAATAGCCTACTAGGGCCACAGACAACATCTCTATTGTGCTACTAGATCAAAACATCAAAAAATTATGAATTAAGAAATCTCTGCAATTAATAAAACCTGTCTGCTTTATATTAAAACTTCTCTATAATTATGGAATGTCTAGTTCTCCTTGCAGAGGTTTACTTCCCTTTACATAAACCCATATGTACTAAATCTCTTAGTGCAACAGTGTATTCACTAGCCAGCTACTTGAGTAGGTTCTGAAGCATTGCTGTGGCGTAGGTTGGCCGAGCTTGTCTGCTTTCAATAGCATTACTCAAGTACTGGATCCCGCCGCAGCGCTCCCAAATCTCTTCAAATTGCCTGGGAAGAATTTCTGCACCTCGCTTTCTTGTTAATCCAGTTTCTTCAAGGTTTAGTTCACACATTTCCATGTCATCTTTGCCTGGAAAAAACAAACATTCCAAAATAAATTCTACAGATCACTATGTTCCACATACAAATACAGATGTGGACACATTTGTAGCTGAACTTCCACAAAAAAAGGACTGACAATTTTCTTGAAGTACCTTACAAAAGTAAATGGCATCCATCATTGTTTATTCCATATTTAATAAAAATCAGACTTTGCTTTTGATTTCACAGAATATGCTAAGCATTAGAGCAAATTAAAATGCCATGGACAAAAATGATGGGACCCTTGGCCTAATATTTTGTTGCACAACCTATAGAGCCAATCACTGCAAACATGCAATCTTTGTAGGTCTCAATGAGACGTCTGCACCTGCCAACAGGTAGCATACTCTTTTTGAGCAAACTGCTCTAGCTGTCTCAGGTTTGAAGGGTGCCTTCTCCAAACAGCATGCTTTAGCTCTTTCCAGAGATGTTCAATAGGATTCAGATCAGCGGTCATAGTAGGCCACTTCAGATGTCTAATGTTTTGTTCTTAGCCATTCTTGGGTGCTTTTAGCTGTCTGTTTTGTGTCACTGAGACAGAGCTTTCTGACATTGGGCAGTATGTTCTACTTCAGAATTCCTTGGTAGTCTTGAGATTTTTATTGTGCCCTGCACAGACTCAAGGCACCATGTGCCAGATGCACCAAAGCACCCACAAAACATAACAGCGTCCTCCATGTTTCACAGTAGGTACAGTGTTCTCTTCTATGAAAGATCCATCTTTATGTCTGTGAACATAGTACTGATGTGTCTATGGGACATTAACCCAAAGGCATGGGGCTTGTCAATTTAAATGTTAGCAATTTTATGTTTCTGTTAGGATAGTGGAATCCTCCTGGGTTTTCTTCCTTTGAGCACACTGTCATTCAAAAAGTGACAGATTGTGTGATTAGACACTGATGTACATTGACCTTGGAGTTCACAGGGGTGTGGAAATTTTTGAAAAAACTACTTGTCCAAGGGCTAAAGCGGGGGCCAAACCTACTTGTCCTTCATAACAATCTACTTGTCCCAATAAAAAAAAATAGTTTTAATTAAAACTAGGGATGCACCAATACCGGTTTTTGAGTATAGAGTACCGATATTTTGCTTTCGGTACTCACCGAGTATCGGTGCTTCCGTTTGCATGGAGCAAGCTTCCCGGCAATCAGGAAGCCGGGCAGCAGGTAATGAGATGCTACCCGGCTTCCTGACTGCCAGGGAAGCCGACCCCATGTTTGGCCAGCTTGATTGTGAATGGCTTGGAAGCCGGTTTCCCGGCCAATCAGCATCGAGCCAGCTTCCTGGCCAATCAGAAAAACCGGGAGGCGAGTAATTACCTGATTGGCCAGGAAGCCGGCTCGATGCTGATTGGCTGGGAAGCTGGGAGGAAACTGGGAGACGGGTCATTAGTCGCTGACCAGCTTCCTGATTGCACGGGAAGCTGGCTCCATGTTCCCCTCCGGCACTGCCGGTCAGAGGAAGACTTCCTCTGACCAGAAGTTCAGGTATTGGAGAAGATATCAAGCATTTTGGCGAGTACAGGTACTTGCCCAAATACTCTGTATCTGTGCATCCCTAATCAAAACTGTATTGGTCTGTGCTAAACAGCGCTTCTCATTGGTCAGCGTGGTC